AATATTCGGCATCAGGATTAATTAATTAGCAAAGTCAGAAATCGCGTTGGTTGCCGGCCAACGTGTTCCAACGTCTCTCTCTCTCTCTCTCTCTCTCTCTCTCTTCCCCCTCTCTTGTTTTTTCGCCCGGTAATTAAGAATCAGAGGCGAAACTTCTCTAACTCGATTTTGCGCGAGAAAAATCGTATTAGGCACGTGGATAAACGGCCAACTATACGCGTACGCGCGTTTAAAGCTCCGGCCTATCTCCGGCGAGAAAAATGAAAACAGCTTTTTCCAACGTGCCGTGTAATACAGCGCGAGGCATGGAATGGTGGCAACCTCTCCGCCGCCATGGTCCAACGCCATTTTTACGGGGCGAAATAACTGGAAAGAAGAGCCGATGTGGAATTGTGGAAATACGTGTATTCGCGTCCATTCGTGTATCCGCGGAACATCCGAGATTTATCGAGGCGTAAAATATATTATCATCGCTCGTGAATGATTTCGCGATTTGTAAATCGATCAACGTACTTTTTTTTTTTAAAAAAACAAAGAATTAATTTTTTGAGAGAGAGAGAGAGAGAGTTCTGAAAATATTGCTTTACGAATTTTGGGGGGAATTTATTAAACGGTCAAAATTCTAGGAAAGCAAGCTTCGAAAATTACATTTACGCGAGAAAATGTTGATCGAATGTTCTATTAAAAAAAAAAAAATTCGAGGAATTTTTTTCTAAGTCCTTAAATCTTTTTTACTCGGTCTAGCCGAGAGGAGTTCCTTCACTTTCAATGAGACAATCCAATACCGACTCGTTTCACGTGAGAGGATTTCGTTGAATCGTCTCGTGGACGAGTTTAATCAGCGAGAACGTGCATATACCTCCGGGAGAAAGAGGTGCAGAATTCCTACAAATTATTAGTCCATCCTCAACTATGGACATTTTATAAATCTTTGCCGGATGGCCACGCTCTTTATTGCGATTATCCCGGGTTATTTTCCATGTTAGATACGTTTATTAACACGGAAAAGCTCGTACTATTGATATCATAAATTTAAAGGAAGGAAGAGAGAGAGAGAGAGAGAGAGAAACTCGAACGTTGTTCCGACAAAATGTTCCCAGAATTGATATTTGTTGGACACTTTTTAGAACGTGCGGTAATAACCAGCAAACAGTTTCTCGTTGTTTCAATCCGGACTATTAAATACGTCTAGGTTTATTAATTTAAAACTTGTTCTAAACCTGATGATGCTACGCGACGAAAACTCGTGCCAATTATTATACGTTTACGAACCAACTAGTTGAACACTGATGAAAAATGATCGAAATATAATACAACATTTCGTTTCCACGTGTATTCAACTGTATTGGAATATACAGAGGCATGGTCACGATATTTTTAACAAAACAAAAAAAAGGAAAAATTCGATACCCCACTCGAATTTTCTCAAAACAGACGAGTCGAAACAATCGGGCAGGAGGATCGTATCCTAGGGAAATTTAATTTTAATAACGATTCACGGAATAGCCGAGACGGGCCATTGAGTTTTTATTGCGAATTTCCATTTTTTAACAAACGCAGAAAAAAGGTATTGTCCACTATCCATTATTATAAAAATATATCTCAATTGCGGGCTTCGTTTTTGGCCATTTCCATCGACGAAAATCGCTTACTGGCCTTTTTCCCTCCCCCCTTCCACAAATCCATTTATCAAATTCCCATCAACTTTCTCGGGAACAAAATAAATTCCGCGGGGGGATGCGTTATAATTAACCACCGTCGACAGCGCGCTGATCGTCTTTTGCTCGAATCCGTGTGCACGGATAAAGATCAATATCCTGGACCGAAATCTCTTCGGTCAAACAGACACGGCAAATTCAAACAAGATCGAAGAAAAGAAATTTCGCGAGATCTCGCTGGTTTCTCGATGTTTGCACTTTCGAGCTTATTCGGTATCTGCGAGCTATATTTAATGCACAGACAGGGCAGAATGGTTCTAATTTCCCAAGAATATCGAATCGAATACACGTACGATATATATATATATATATATCCACGTTTCATATTTTCTCTCCCGGGCAGAGATGGTGAAAAATGGTTCGCTCGGCCAGGCGTCGTTTAATCTCGTTTCTTCCGTTGTCAGTCACGGTACAGGAACGGCCCTGTGGCGGCGTTAATTGCCATTTTACTCGGAGATACGGTGACCTCGAAGCACGTGATTCGAATTTTCGAAGCAAAAACGTTCGTTGTTGGTCGTTACGCCGTTTCGTGTCGAGCTATCGCGTATATTTTGTTACCAGCCGACTGGAAAACTTTATGGCGCTATCAACACGTTTCGACCGGAATGCTGGACGACAATGGATGGGGATTAATGTTCGATTCTCTCCCTTTGCTCAGAGAAACGGTGGAACCGGGTGGAACGGTTTCAAATTTTTCCTTCCCCTCCTCTTCTTCCGCCGCGCCTTTCTTCCATCCCCTCCACGCGGATGGATAAAATGGCGGATTCGTTCGTTTCGTTAGAAAGACGTAGACTCGGCGACACGGTGAACCATCCACCGCGAGTCCTATTCATTCCGTTTATCGCGCGTTTCGCCCAAGGTTTTGCCCAAGTTTTCGTCGTTTCTCAAGTCTATACATAGTCTATATACACAGCCCCGGTGGGAGACGCATAACCGACGCGATATCTCGCCCTTCCTCCACTAAGTAAATTTCACCAGCAACAAACTATCTTGCATGCATATCCTCCCCGATAAATCTTCCCCCCTTTCGGATGTTTCGAAACTTTCGCGCGAATTATTTTACGAATTGGCCAAACTTTGGACAATTATTCGCTCGACGAGGGAAAAGAGAAGAAAAGGGAAGAAACGGAAGCGCGAATGTTTGATATTTGAAAATGATCGTAATAATTCGACTTCAAACTATCAGCGTGAATCTTGATCGCGATTCGTGTGGGCATCTCCCATTTCCGCGGCTCTTCAACGCCGAGATGGCGGAGAAGCCCGATTCCGTGGCTCGTGTTGCAAACGTAATCTGAGAGAATGCAGAATCTCGGGCGAGGAAGCGGCGTACCGTGACGCGAGTTGCGCCAGTTCGTTTCCTTGAAGAGAGTGAATTTTCCTAGAGAGAGAGAGAGAGAGAGAGAGAGAAAACACAAGGTGGTTAAAGATTTGGACGACGTTCGAGCAACGGAAAGGAACATTTCTTCAGGATGACACGTTTGAGTTTCTTCTAAACCGTCCTTTGTTCAATTTCATCCGATTCCATTTGTTAAGAGGGATGATTTTTTTTCTTTTTCTCTTCTCTTTTTGCGAGGTTTGACGCAAGAAGATGGAGATTGGATCGAAGCTTTAAAAGCTGGATGATGAAAAGATTTCGATATCGAATTCTTTTTTTCCTCTTCTTCTTTTTCTTTCTTCTTCTTTATTATCGTTTGGGTGCTCGTTTCAGCAGGGGGAATCGTTTGTCAGCAGTTTGAAAAGATTTGAATTTGAGCGTTGCGCGGATGAATAATAGACGAAAATATTCCCGAGAAAGAAGAGAGAGAGAGAGAGAGAGAGAATGATACGTAAGTACACGTAAGTGGATGATTATTGAGAAAAATGAATTCGTGGAAAGGATATTCGGCGTGTACGGGAAAAAGGAAAAGGAAATATCAAGGGGCAATGGCAAAAGTGAGTTCACATTGAATTTCGTTAATCTCTATCGATCGATTTTCCCAACGGCAGCTGAAGTTATCGGTTTTTAATTTTCCTCCCTCTCCTGCTGAAACTTCTTTCTTTCTTTCTTTCTTTCTTTCTTTCTTTCTTTCTCGTAACACGAAAAAGTTTCGAGTGGCGTGAAAAACCCGTTAAAAAGCATCCTTGGGTTTTGCACGCCTCGTCAAGATGAACAATCTTCTCCGAGTTTGTCCCGCTTGCTCCCGTTCTCACACTCCCGTAACACCAGGCGCAATTGCATTCAACACTCGCCAAGTTCTTCAACTTTTTTTTTTTATTTTTTTTTTTTTATTTTACCCCAACGTGTTTGAATTCTTTATCGTGTCGGTTTTATTTCGTTTCGTCGAAAGCGCCGCCGCACTTTCCACACCGGGCAATAAATATAATCCTCGAGAATGATGAAACAAAGAAGGAGAAGTCGTTACTGTTCGTTGATACAATTTTCTCGTTCGATACGTCAAACGTCAAAACGTCCAAACTCGTCCATCGTTTCACTCGGATTTTATCGAAAGAATCGATCGAGTATTCCGCCATTTTCCAGATAAACGTACGTCTGAGAAAAAAACGTATTCGAAGTTCTCGGATTGCGTGGAAACTTGGGAGGAGAACTAGAATTTTTTGAACTGGTCGACCAACTCCTCGAGGAAATCTTCGAACCGCGAGAGACTTTTCGTGAAAAGTTTGAAGAGCAAGATCCACGCTTAATAAAAATGTTCTTACATCGTTTAACTTTTTTTTTTTTCTTTTGCCAGCTTATCGTTTCGAGATGCGAGAGAGAGAGAGAGAGAGAGAGAAACATCCGTTCCAGGGAATAGTTCGATTTGTTATCGATTCGAGATATGTTCCGTTCGTATAACGCGGAGAAATTTCGTGTCTAATGGATCAGTAGATTGTGGCAAAACTTTGCCAAGTCTCTCTAATTAGTTCGATTTAATCGACTGGTCGCGTTCTCTTTGTATTCGTTGCATTGGCTTTGTTCCAGACCACCAGCATCGTCCCTGCTATTCGAATTCGATTACCAAGAGAGAAAGAGAGAGAGAGAAGGGCACAGAAATAGTGAAATCGTGTACGATCCTGGGAATAAAAAGTGTGGCGAACATCCTCTATTCCAAAAGGAAATGCAGATCAAATGCTCGTTCAAATTCAAATTCTCACGTTAAAATATACCTACGATATATAGTACGAGATAAGAGGCGACATCGCGATTCAATCGAATCGGAACGTCGCGCGTTGGAAGAGGCGAAAGATATTTGTTCTAAAAAGATAGGCGTTAAAAAACGCGATGTTTCACGTACAAACACTCACCCAAGAAGCCAGGGATCGCGCCTAGAGGCATGACGAACAGGCTGACGAGTAAATCGGCCACCGCGAGAGACAAAAGGAAGTAATTGGTGACGTTGTGCAGCCTTTTGTCGAGCCCCACTGCGAGGCAGACGAGTATGTTCCCCAGGCCACCCGCCACGATAAACACAGCGACGAAGAGAAAGTTCCAGTCGAGACGTCGGCCTCTGCTCCCAGCCGAGCTCAACTTCGTCCTGTGCGAACAAGAGACGGTCAGGTCTTCCGTCGTCGCGTTCTCCGTCGCCGTGCACTCCAAAATCTGTGGGCAATGCAGAAGAATCAATGAAAGGGGCTGAAACGATGGAACGTATGGACGTATATATACGATTACGCTGAATCTTAGACCTTAGGGTGTTCACCTGATCGCCAAAATCGGTCTCGTTGCACTCGTTGAACCTCGACAACCTCGACAGGAAAACGCCCTCTATGCTCTCGAGTCCGCTGAGGACCAGGGATACGTTCACGTCGCAGTTGGAGTAATCGCAGGGCCTGCAGAGCAGAGTCATCGACGAAGCCAAGGTTCCCTTCTCGACCGTGCACACGTGGTCGAATCCCGACGAGGCGAATCCACACTCCTCCACGCATCCGAGGAAGCTGTCGTTACAGGGCAGGTGGTGCAACATCGCGGTCAGGTTGCCGGTCCAAGAGGTGATCAGATCCCCCTCCATGTCGTGGACAAATCGTATCGATCTGGCCGGTGTTCCAACGAATCCGTTGGATTTGTCCCAAACTTTGTCACTTTGCGGATCACGGCTCACGACAGACACCGAGCCATGTCTAGGGAACTCTAGGGCACCTTGTCCACGAAAGAGCAACGCCTAGTCACCCTATTCACTCGCGACACCCCACTTTGTCTTCTATTCCGCATAATTTTGTAATTCTACGAATTCGCGTTTGAAACGGAAACCTCGCTCTCCTCGACACAGTTTCGCACATCCGTCACATCGGGCAAAAAAATTTCGGGGATTGGATCAGCCAGCCAATTTTCGAATAATCGGCCGTTCCTAATCTAATTAGGAAACGCGATCACGATGGCGGCGAGAGTGTCTTTTCGGCGACAACATTTTCCAACATCCCCGGTTTACTTTGATGTCCGTGTTCTAACTTTTCCCCGATCTGGCCCCCTCTCGTCTTTTCTACCTGGAACAAATGATAACGGTTTCAACCTCTCCCCGGAGGAATCGATCTATCGCGCCAAGCATTATTAGCTCGATCGCGCGTCCAACGATCCGTTCCTTCTCCCGAAACCGTAAAAAATATATATATATTCGACGACGAAGAAAAATTGAATCGAGAGTCAGCTCGAAACCGAAATGGCCGTTCCCGACATTGATCCGGTGGGAATGCGAAGCCAATCTTTGTCGTTTCGAATAGTGGAAATGTTTTTAAATTGAATGACCCTTCTTTTTTTTTTATTTCCCCTCGATTATTTTTCCCAATTGTTGTTGGGGAGGGACGCGCGATATTTCTCGACAATTTTATCGAGAAATTTTTATCGCTTTTGTAACCCTTTGTTTACCGCGTCAAAATAATCCGACTGAAAATAAGGGGCGAAGCCTGCGTAAAAATATAATCGTTGAATCGTTGGTTCTCAGGAGGACACGTTGTCTGAGATAAGAAAGAGAAGGGATACGATCCAAGCGCCAGTGATCCATCGATCACGCTTTGGATGCTAAGTGAAATATTATATCGGGAATGAACGAGAAACAAATGTTCGAAGTTAGAGGGAATTGCTATGTAAAATCTGTGGACACACAGTTCTCTTGTCTTTTCTTTCTTTCTTTCTTTTACACGAGGAAATTTTTATTGGAAAAACAATAAAAGGCGAGGAGCGGGCCGAATATAATGGGATTGCATCGATCAGAAGTAAGACGAGATTAAGTACGCGATATCTGTCTAAACCCGACAGATAAATCACGTTCGCGAAGAGATGCTGACAGACGACAATAAGTCATCCCATTTATGGATTTCGTTAAACCTTTGTAATCAAGAAAATCATCGTCCTTTTTCTTCTTTTTTATACGATTTCTCTTGCATCGATCTTTCTCCCCTTTCTTTTTCTATTCGACAGAATGATCCTCTGCGAATCTTCGTTCAAAGCGAAAGTAAAATCGTGGTTATTTCCTTTTCGATCAGAATACAAATTGAAATACAAATATTATATATATATATTTTTTAGTTGCATAAATAGAACGGCGATTAATATCTTTTTTTCGAATGCAATATCGATTAAAGTTCTTTTGGTAGAAAACTATGAAAAAAGATCGAGTGTGAATTATTTATCTCGTGATCGGAAAACGTTTTCTAGCCTGAATTATATATAATACGATACCATCGAAATGTCGTATCTATCGTCGAAGGATAAGAATGGAACAACGCATATGAAAGGATAAAGAGAGTTTAAACAGAGAGAGTTTGCGGAAGAGGCGCTCTACTGTTTCCTTTGCGAACTTGGGAATATTATGTCAGCGACAAATCCAGCCTCTTAACCGCGACGCGGTTAAACAGTTTCTAATTAACGCTCGTTGTAATATCCGCTTGTAGAGCCTTGCAATAATCGTTAGAAATGCTCGTTTTCAAGAGCGATCCTCGAACTTCGAATAACACGTCTCCTTCTCTAACTCGTTAACTTGTTGGAAAAATTTAATTTTCAAACGAGAAAATACAGGAGATGGAAAATGTACGAATACGTTTTTTAAAAAAAGTATTCGATGTCTCGTACGTAAGAAAAGCTGTTCGATCAACAGCTATTGTTCTTCGAAATGGCAAATAACTCGCGGAATCGTTCGAATACTCTCTCGTGCTCTTATATACGTAAAAGTTTTAAAACATCTCATATATGAAGTTTAATAACGACGGATCGAGCCCTTGCTTCCTACATAAATAATCCCCCTTTCTCGAAATCCATGACGCTTTGCTGATGAATACGTAATCGAGAAGGACTTATTATAAAAACTGCAATTGAATTCTACGAGAAGAATTCTACGAAAGCGTGGCCGCTCTCGAACCTTCCTAAATTTCAATTACGCGAATTTTTACTCTACTTCCCATTTAAAAATATTTTTCTGATTCGTGGAAAAGATCGTGTTTCCATCGAGGATCATTTCATTCTTTATATTCAGAGCCTCTCTCTCTCTCTCTCTCTCTTCGATACGATACGATTTCTTAAATATCCCTTGCAATATTTTAAATCCGGTATTCGAATGGAAAACACTATTTCGTTATTATGTTTCGCGAGGAATACCGCTTTTACTCCTATCTTAATAGCTCGAGAAAAGACAACCTTCCACTCGATTGAATCAACGATTCCCTGGAAAAAGTTTTCCCGTTTCGCCAAAACTTTCTTTCTCCCCGTCTACGCGTTTTATTGCTCCCCACAATTTTCCTCTCGTCCACAACCTCTCGTCGAATACGTCTGTCGAACGAATAATTTTATGTATAAATAGAGGCGTGCAAAATAGAGGCGAAGATGATCGAGGAAATCGAGAGTTAAAGATTCGAAGCTAGAAACTTTCGAAATTCTTCGTTCGAAGATTCCTACTTCGACTTCTCTCCCCTTCCCCTTTGATGAAAACTTAAGATCACGCGAACAAGTTTTTAACCCGATGAATACCTCGATCATCTCCACATGAATACCGCTAGAATTCTTCTAACAATAAGATCTATCCCCGAGATCGAAAATCTGTCCGACTCGCGCGAATATCATCCACTATTTTCTATTCCCTCGTTTCATCTGCTACTTTTTCGTCAAGGACGACGCCTCGTTTATTCAGAGGAAGGACACGAGCACAAATTACGAGCATCGATGTAATCCTACCCTTATTCGTGTCTCTCCACGAGAACCTTTATGAAACGTTCCTTTGTTCGTTCACTCTTCCTTCCAGATTTATCGACAGAGACCTTTATTCCCGAATTTAACGCAACTCATTGTGTCTATGAAAGAGAAAGAGAGAGAAAGAGAGAGAGGGGAGGGGGAGAGAGAGAGATTACAGGAAACAACAGAATGTTGTTTGTTCATGGTCAAAGAGTATGCTTCTAAGGAGCAATTCCAATGGCGATAATTAAGAGATTTAAAGAATGCAAAGTATGATGAGATGGACTATATTTGACTTTTAATTAAGAAAATATCGCAATAATGTCGGGGGCAACAAGATGCATATTCTCATTGTCATTTATAGTTATCTCCTTGAAAACTTATCAAAGGTATTCGCCTCGTACTACTTTTTCATCCCTCCCCGACGAATGAAACATTCCTTGATTTTTTTTCTTTTTTTTCCTCTCTCTCTCTCTCTCTCTCTCTCTCTCTCATCGGTGCAAACAGCTGGGACGAGAACTGACCCTCTTTTCATTTCTTCGAATCTCCGTTTGAGTTCCAACTTTTCAGCTAGACGCTGCTAATCAAGACGTTTAATTACGAATCTCTTGTTGCGAACGTGAATTTCCTTGGATCAATAATCACGGATCGTGTTTATATTCGCTCGTGAATCTTTCCTTTCAAAAATATTTCGACCTCTATTCTTTTTTATATATAATTCATTATTCTATACTCAATAATACAATATAGAAATCGTGACGATAATAAAAAAGAAAAAAAGAAATATCAATTAAAATTCTTCTAATTTCGTAAAATCCTCTAATCACACCTCTCCACTCCATCTCGTATCTCGTATCTCGTTACACAAATTAGAATCTGTTGCATCCCCTGGCAATTAATGCGGCCAGCCAGCGCGGAAGTCGGCTGAAAATCCGAAACTGCTTCACGGTTAAGCTGCGTTCCTAATTGTGAACAGTACAGATCGACGGTACATGACGATTCACGACTTGTCGTGTAGCCACACGACTGTACGAAACAATCCGTCCAAATCGTCCGAAAATGAAAATTTCACCTCTTATTCTCACTTTCGCCATCCCTTTCGCGCGCCCGTATTCGACGCCTAACGGACGAACGCACTTCCAATCATCGGCTACTTTCGTGAACAATGCAACGCCCCCCTCCTGCATCTATCTCCTTCCTCCAATGGCGCGAGAAACATCGATCGATGAAATTTCCACGCGGATGGAACGTTTGGCAGGTCGGTTGATCAATTATTCTCGGCGGAATAACGCGAGGGGGAAACGCGTGATGTTTCTTGCCAAAGCTTGCTTGGTAAAAAGCACCGCGTCGAGATAATGAAATCGATCGAATTCGCCGAAATTTTTCCGCGAGAGCGCGATCGAGCGCGCGTTAAATCCGTGGAGAGTCGATAAATGGTTGCGGCATATCGACGCGTCCCCCCCCGTTAATTTGTACTAGACGGTCCATGGAAATCTAGTTGGACGGGATGGGTGATGGCCGTGTACGGCGCTGATATCAATTAAACCCGGTGTACGCCGGTGAGTTGGAAAATTTGATGAAATATCGTACGCGGACAGAATAGGAAGAAGAAGATACAGAGGCAAAGTTGAGTAGAGAAACGTGTTAGGAGAGAATTGTGTTTATAGAAATGTGGATGTATAAAAATGTGGAGGATGTGTACGGTTGCGTTTTCGAGGAAATAGACGAAACAGTTTTTGCAACGGGGATGTGAAAAATGGAATAAAAATTGGAATTGGAAGAAAAATCACTACTTGCGTAAAGGATCAGATTTTTGATTGAGCAAGAATCTTGAGTTTTTTGTCGTTCGATAAATTCGATATGAATGTGATTTGGAACGCTGTTTCCAAATAATACACAGGAAGATGTTATCTTCGATCGATATGTTCGATCGGTGAAGAGCCTACTCGAACACTTCTTGGACTTCAAGGTTGAAGTCTCCGGGTTTAAATCTAACCGCAATCTCTCTCATAAAGAGCACATTGCTGTGTGTACATACACACGAGTACATGCGCTCCGTGTATTGTTTGCAATGCACTTTTGCCTTTTCGATAATTAAAAGCATCAAATACCACAGATGTACTTTTATAAATCGGTCAGAAAATTAACAACAGAAAAATAAGAAAACTGAGGTAAAATAAAAGGTATCGTGAGTTTATCGAACGATTAATAATTTAATAAATTAATATCCTCGTCGACGAGTATATCGAGATGCTAATCGAAAAGAATCGAACGATTTCAATTTTCGAGAACATAACACTCCCCCTTTATCGGTAACAAGAGGAAGAAATCCACCGCCTTCTCCTTCCTTCATCCATTCACCATTCTACGTTCACACCATTTTTCACTTCCTAGATATATACCTACGTAAAATACAAACGCCAGAAGAATTACGATCCGATACGGCGACAAATTTGTCCCGACTTGTAAGGAAAATATCTTTCGAATGTGAATGAGAAATTTTGAAAAATTTATTTATACTTGCTGGAAATCTCTATAGATAAACTTGAAATTTTATCAAGCGTGTATTATTCTATTTAAAAAAAATCTCACTAAAAAAAACACCACTTCCGCTAAAAGAATCGGCGAGGTAAACGAACCAATTGCGGGATAGCAATTTGCCAGCCACGCGGCCCTGCTCGATTCGTTAGGGTTGGCGGGGCGTTCTTAAACGTTCTCATCTTGTAGATTTCTAATTAAGAAACGCGTTTCCAGCGATCCCGTAAACATCCCGTAGCCAAGCATCCCGCGCGTCATGTTTAATTACCTTCGCAATTACCGTTGCAGAAAACGTTATTTCCCCCCCAATTGCAAATTGGGGTTGCAAAAACCCATTGGGGCTGGCCAGTTAGTTCGAGCCGATAGAGCCGAGAACGTGCTACCAGCAATTTCGGGTTACGAGAATTCGTGATGTTATTACTTTCCTGTCAAGCGTTTCCGCACTCGGATAAGGGTGCGAATTTTGCTCGACCAGTTCCACAGGAATTATTGGAATTATATATACGATTAATTCTCGTAGCCTCGCTCGGATAGGATAAAATTGAAGGAGATGTGTCAAACGCGAGAATTGGGTGACATTGGATTGATATTTGTTCGGACGAAAAATTTACGAATTTGTGGAAATTTACGAAGTAGGGTGGAAAAGATATTTGATAAAAAAGGAGAGGAATAAGGATATCGCTTTATATATATTTAATCCGTCTCTTGAGAACATTGAGAAACGAAATTGCGAAAAGAAATGAATTTTATAAATTTAACAAATGAATTTTTTTAATAAATGAATTCCAATAGTTTGATAAAATATGGGGAACATATATATATATATATGTAACAAATAAACGAGTTTGTATGGTAGATTACGAGTAGCGTTATCACGGGCAAAGTGCATCGGCCGTTCTGTATGTAGGGGGGCAAAGCTTGATTTTAGCTGATTGGACATCGACCGATGGGAACGAGATACGGATGTAATTTGTTAACGGGGCTGCGTGGAAAATAATACGACTCGATAACGAGATATGATACACAGCGGAGCAGGTTAGTAAGGCCAATGACAGCGTTTCGTGTCACACTGGATTATTCTATCTCACATCTTTCGTCTGTTTATTGAATATTTGCCGAAAGTAATGAAATTGAGGACGGAACGAGAGACGAGATGCGTTTGCAAGACAACGCGTACGAATTAAAATAAAAAATTTGGCATAGAATTCGAAGAGTAAATGTCAATCTATTGCTTGGGTATTTTAAACTGTTTACTTATCACTTATTCTCTCTCTTGATACGTTGTTAACAAACGCGGGATTGGATTTCTTTTTCTTTTTTTTTTATTTTTCAATCTCATTGAAAGATTTATCCTTCGTGAAATCGAAAAATATTTTTCAATGAAGTACGATAATGGTTTTTGATGAAATAGAGAATGTTTAATTCTCTTTATTCGTTTTTTTTTTCTTTTTTTATTCTCGCTGTAAGTACGGTTGAATGAAATACCATGTTGATGAGCACACGTCCAGAACATTTATAAAATGTTCCCTGACGAATGAAAAGAGATGTTTTGAACAATCGGTAATAAAGCAAAACGTTTGCAAGCGTTCTTGCTATCGTGGCACACAAATCCATTCTTTCCTTGTATGCTGCGTATGCACGTTTCAAACGTGCACTTTGATATTTACCCATTTATATGAATGATTTCTAAACTTGTAAATATCGTAACAAGGAAGAATTGATGCAAATTATTTCATTCATCATTAATAATTAGCCAACTTCAAAAACAACTCGTGTACAAATTAAATTTTTCACATATAATCACGCGTTAAAATTCTTTGGTAATTTCAGTGATACTAGTTTTTAGAATTTATCAAAATGTTATTAATTTTTATTACCAAAATAAACTTGTTCAACTATGATACAATTAATCGTGATAAATTTAAAAGATATGGAAAAATAGAGGAAATTTAATCGATATTTCATATCGTTTAAATCTGAGACTTTACAATCGATGATATCTGAAATTTTACGAGCGGCCCTTAAAAAAAAAAAATTCTCTTTAGCAAAAATTTTCTAAGAAGGGAGAAAGAATCCTCGAAATATATTCTGTGAATATAAAATCACGAGAGAAAATATATTGACGAAATCATAGTTTATTCAATCTATTTCAAAGCGATATGAAAAGAAGAATAATCGCAGATGGGATCTATTAAATCATAGTGGTATCGGTGAAAAAGGTATTCTTATTAATTTATATTAAAAAAAATTTCATTAAAAAAAACTCTGCGTTTTATCATATTGAATGAAGCTCATTGAATGCGAGAGAAAAGATTCCTCTTAACAAAGGAGACTATTTAAAAACCGACTAGAAATGCAAATTGGTGAAACACTGACATGCAAAAGACGCAGTGTAATTTTATGAGGCACATGCTGTTTAATAAAATTTAACCAGTTACGTTGTTTCCCTATAGAGATCGTTACGCGAATGTCTTTTACGAGGAGGAACCAAATTTCTCTAACAAAGACTATCGCGCTTTTAGAAAAATATTAAATTTACAAGCTTTATGATCAAGCTTTTCCCATAAATTATTTTACCATAATTTCAAATTTTCTATAAGGAAAGACTGTAGTTGAAACGATGTTCCAGTTTCTATAAAATTAAAAAAAATTCGAAGGAAATTTCGAAAGAAAAAAATATTGCAAGGGTAGTTGATGTGAAATATCGGATTGAAATTGTCGAAATGTCAATCTCGTAATTACGTTTCACGTGAAATCCGTCGAAGACCTTCGATACCGAACACTTTCGCGGTCGATACAACAATAACGTTATTGGAAACGAATAAAAATCCATTTCGTTTTCTGAATACGCATGGGGAATCTCTCTTTTCAGGGGTGATCAACCGTGTAACGTAAAGATGCACGAAACATAAGAGATTTAACGGTAGGAGCAAGAATCTAAATAAGTTTGTGTATCGAGCTTGATGTTGCACGCATACTATTTATTGGTAGTCTAATATTGGCAAAGAAAATATAACTTACACGCTTCTGCATACGATTAATCATATCGAACGAAGGTAAAAGAACGAATTTAAAAACTCATGGATTTAATTTAATTTCTATTAAAAAGATAGGTACAAAGACAATTTTTTTTTATAGATTTTTATCGTAATAAAAAAAGTATATCTGGTAGAACAACGATACGAATGTGAATTTTTAATTAAGTAATTGGTAATATAATAAATAATATACGATATATTTAGTAGTTTTGCAATTTTGTACTTGAAACCGATGTTGATGTTTCTATCGAAGAAGAAAATTTTTCAAAAACAAAATTATTCACGAAGAAATTATTAATGAAATGTCATTCATATCATAACCTGGAATCACGTTTTCGAAAAATTATTAACGTAACGTACAAAATTTATCATTATATTTTTGATAACAAGAGCACGAAAAAGGAATAAACGACGGGATGGTATAAATTGCTTGTACTTCCGGGCCAGATTAGGTTATAAAGGGGCAACAGATTCATTTTCGTGGTACTGCACTTTGCTACGATAGAATCTGCATCCCATTACAACGAATAGAAAGATATTTTAGATTAAGTGTGGATAATATCGAACTTCGATTTGTATTAATTGAATTTTTTTCAAGCTTTAGTTTTATATATTGATACTACGTTTCGATTTTAAAATAGAATTCTAATTTCAATAAAAATGATTTGATAAAATTATAAAATGAAAAATGTTAGAACGGATATCGAGGTTAATTTTTTTTAAAAATATTACTCGTTAAACATAATCGTTCAAAATTATAAAATACTTTGTATATACTTTCTATACAAAAAACAATGCATAAATATGAAGACAAAACGATATTCAATTTAAAATATGGAAAGAATGATTATGTTTATTCAACACACGTTGCATGCTTAACAGGAAATATTTTATAGAAAGATTATATATTTACATTTTTGGGCAATTTCTTGAATTCTGGTTTCCAGCTGCAATTTTTTTTCTTCATTACACAATTCTTCGTTCATAATAACATTTTTCTTTTCGATTTTTTCACTGCACTAACAAGAATTCGAATGTCAATGTCACTCATGATATTCACAACACTGCAGCGAGATCACTGCGAGATTCTCTAGAGAAATCGAACTATTTCCGATAATCGATAGTCATGCGATCTGCGCGACAATTATGCCTCGTGGCTAACATCAGGTAGTAAACGGTGGAAACTCGAAGTGATACGGCGTCGTGTTGTCTTAAATTTCAAATGTGAAAAGAATCTAGTTAATAAAACCGACAATCGAGTGTCTTTACTCTTTCAACAATAAAACAAGCTGTGATCGATTGAAATCTCAACTAAGATATGAATCCGCGAAAGGAATCGTTGAATAGTTTCATTAAGAATCAAGTGGCTCATTGCGAGGATTCGAGTGGCGAGCGACCAGTTTCATTTCAATATATCGATTCCATTAAATTTAAGATTTTTTCGTGAAAGGATTAATCGCGAGTGGAACATATATATATATTTTAAACTATCGTATCATCGAATAATTGCATAAATGTAAAAATTCATTAGTGATAATTCGCGCGTAAAATTGTTCCGCGAGATGTCGTTACAATGTCTTTCGATCTGTTTAACGGTTTCGAATTACATGCTTCTTTTTCTCTCACGTGGATTTTGTGACCACATTGTTTTTACCAGTAATCTAGAATGATCAGTGAGGATGTGTAACCTTAGCTCGCTTCACTTGGAACTGGTTCTCACCAGTATGCAGGTAATTTTGAAAACGATTCCTCTTTATCTTGTGTAACGATGTTTTTAGATTAATCGTTCGTACCTTCATTTATAACGACATAAGAGAAACTTTTCGCAAACGACAATTTCGAAGTTAACGATCAAATAGTTCGTGATACTAAATGTTTTTGGAATTCGAAATTATTCTCATCGACTTTTCGTTTCTCGAGAAAGCGAAAATGGTTTTTTGAATAGGATCATAGTTTCGAAACGTGAAATGGGAACATAGGAATTCGTGATTAAAACTTTTGCGATTTAAATTTCGGTACTATAAATCCTTTTGAATTTCACACGTAATTCTATCGATATTTTTTATATAATACACAATTTCAAAATCTTAAAAAAATGTTCTGTTGTTCTTTTATTGAAACGACAATTGTTACGTATTTTACGTGTATTAATTCACTTTGAAATATAATTCCTCATGTAGATAAAAGAAATTTCCTGAAAAATTTTACGAAAACACCGAACAATAATTACATACTATTTTTATACAGTCACGAATTGAAAAATATTCTATATCGAGGGCAATTTCTTTCAATAACCGTTAAAATAAATTTGTCCTAAATACGCATCCTCGCGGTTTGGCCGCGTGGATCACACTGAAGGCGCGTCGGCTCGGTAGAGGTAGCATTGCCTTACATCTAGGAGTGGGAGAAAGATAGAGAGAGGGATTGCGATGCGCGCCAAAACTTATTCGTTAGAGTTTTAAGGGATATTATTCTACTTTTCGTCATCAAGAGTAAGTACTAAACATCATCAACTTTTGCATCGCATGCTTATTTGCTTTTGTAATGAATGATTATTCATGATATACGAATAGTTCTTTTTAATTTTTATTTGAAATACATTATGATTAATATAAAACGATGTAGTATTTGATTTATATATAACATTAATAATGCATAATGAATTGATTGTATGTTGTATATGATATTAATATTAATAGCAATTACGATGAAGCTATTTGAAATCGATATTGCATTGTGTTTCGTAGTATGTACATATTACGGATGATAATTTTGATATTTCATGATTTAGAAAATAGCAAGTAATTGTTAATTAATTAATAAGCAATACTTCATTTTTTGCTCGATTTAAAGCAACTTTTTATTTACACTCTTTATACACGATACTTCATTTATTTATTCAGATTTTATTTTTTCGCTTATTATTTATTTCATCCTTATTGTTACGCTTGTATAATAATCTCTTTTTTTTTTAAAATCTTTATTCATTTTTCTTATATCACATTTTGAACGAATTTCCTTCTTTTCAATTGTATTAATTTTAATTATCTTTAGCCTCTACTTTCATATCAGAATAAAATAACTTTTCTTTTCCTCACTGAAATTAGTCAGAACTTTTTTATTTTCTATTCCTCAAATACCTCTCTGTACTCTCGTGGAAATTTCAACCACTTAACAGATGATGTTTCTCTCATCGCAAATAATCTTTTCTCGTTAAAAATTTTAATTGCATCAAAGGTAGGGGGGCTAGTGAAAAAATATTGGTTCGTTTTTTCTATTCGATTATATTTCAACATTTTTGAGAATAAAGTATTCTGATCCTCATTTTCATCGATCTTTTATATTAATCCTCTTAGGAAAGGGGGAAAAAAAAAGACATTGAAAAATATTATCCTTTTGCGTCGATAATCCCGCGTCGAATTCGTGAACTGACATCGTTGACAGAATTACAGAATCTGATATAAAGTTGAAAAACGTTATTTATCTCTGGATAAACGTAACTACTATAATGTAAGCGATGTAACCACTAACCCGGGCTATCGAAAAATTTCTTTCATCATCAAACAATGGTAAATTTCGATCTTTCTCGACGAATTTTAAAATTATCGCGATTCGATACTCCGGTGAAAATACGAGGAATTACGAACAGGGTGAAATACTGCCGATGAAATACACCCCGTTACCTTCAGATAAAAAAGGATTACATTAGGGAAACGCCGCGAGTCGAATCGAACTTGGCTGTTACGCGAGATTTTATCTGAAACTTTTTTACTTTCCTTCTGAAACTCTTTCTCTTTCTATAAATACAAGGACAGGAAAAATAGGACGTGGAAATTCATTTTTAGAATGAAAGATACGAGCCGATGAAAAAATTCTTCTAATAAAATTTTATTATAGAAATAATTTCAATTAAAAATAATGGTGATTCAACCATTCATCAGGTTGAATTTTAAAAAACGATTTCACTTGGTGATCGTTTTTTTTTCTTTTTTTCTTTTTCTTGTTCTTCCTTTTTTAAATATGCATGGCATACTTGTTAACAAATTTTTCTCAAGCGAAGAATCTTCACTTTCTATTTAACCGTGTTATTTACCGATCTTTCTTTTCCTTTCAAATATTTCATCGTTTTTTTTCAAACATTTTTTTCAAAATCGACTTTTTTGTTGAAATGAAAAGAATACAAAAATATTGATGCACGATATTGATACAAAAATTTATTTTTCATTCGACTTTATATTAAATATCATTCCATATTAATATATATTGTTTTTAAACGATTATGAAAAAAATACATCGTTGAATAATTACAAATGATCCATCGATCTTGAATTTCTTGAAAATAACAAACGAAAGATTTCGCATTCGAGCTTTATTAAACGTGAAAATAAATTCCTAAAATAAATAATAAATGCGTTTCGATTGTAATACAACTCATTATTCGCATCAATAATTTTTCATCTTTTCATAGATAATTAATATCGTATATATGTGTTTTATATATAAGTTGCAAAATGTATGGTAAAAGTTTCTGCCTCTATCTTTTTTTTTTTTTTTTTTAGGAAACAACCTTAAATCCTCGAAATTGTTTTTTACCGTTTCAACATGGGATAAATATTTAATCAAAGAATTTTAACTGGTGCAATAAAATGAAACAGCAACTGGAAGAATAATTGTAATATTATTTTTGAATATGTTAATTCCAATATGATACATTTTTGTATCGCTTATATTAAAATTTTACCACGAATTAAATATACTTTTAAAATTTAAAAGGATATATATATATATATATTTTTTCAAATCTCTTAAATAATATAAAAATTGTGTAAGCATTCAGAAACTTTATATTTTATTATAAAAGAGGAAATTTTTATCTGTTATTTGAACAGTTTTAAAATATTTCGAATAAAAATCATGATGAATAAATAAATAAAACGAAAACGAGATATAATATATACCGTGTATGTATAAAAATTAATACATATTTTTATATGACAAACAACGATCCACAGATTTAAAGTGAACTAAAATTTTTTTTCATATTCCATATTCTGTTAATCGAATTCGGGAACGCGTTCAATTTATAAATTGGAAAATTATATTGCACAAGAAGGATGCATTTTCCCGTGGATCGTGTTTATTTTTAAAAATACATGACACGCAAAACTGCGTGCGCCTGCGAGCACCATCACCACCAGTTTTTCGAGTTCCACGGGAACGTTAAACAAACGGAATCGAATCTCGATATAGCCGAATGAAAAAGGATCATTCTAATCCATCCACCGTGGAATTATCGTGCTCGTTTTCCGTCAAACTTGAAAACTTTCGTAGTTAATCTGAAACGAAACACGAACGTCCATCCCGCGCCTCGGTGTAATTGAAACTGTCCAAACTTCTGTGAGACAAGTTTCAAAGATTTCTTTCCTTCTTTTTCTTTCTTTTTTTTTATTTCAAGATTGAAAGTTCAAGCAGAAATACTCGAAAAAAAAAGAGATTACAAAAAGGGAAAAGAACGGGAAATCGAAACATGTTTTTTTATTCAAATTATGATTAAATATTAATTTATGAGTGGTTTCGATTCATTTTTATGGAAAAATAATGGAACGTGCTAAAAGAAAAATTATAATGAAAAATTTCACGGGAAAATTAAGTGAAATTTAATCTTTTCGTGTTAAGCTTCTAAGAAAAAATTTATCTTGCTCCTTCGCTTGAATCACTTCTCAACATGATCACTATTATCCTCCTAAATTTCCTTTCGCGCAGAAAATTAGAATGATCCTATTTTTTTTCATAAAAAAAAAAACAGAAGCTTCATAATAAGGGAATATTTTTTTAATCGGAAAAAAAATTTCTCCTTTTTTCCGTACTAATAAATTTTTCTCCTAAAAGCGTAGAATTGTTCTGCAATTAAAAAAAAGGAGAAGAAAAAGCTGTAATCCATAAACTCTTTTTACCAGATGAATTGTATAATTTTTTGCATCCCTGTCTTATTTACGGCCCACAAATTCCATTCCATCCTTATTTCTTTTTTTTTTTTTTTCGTTCGTAGCATATTTTTCTTTCTTACCCTCGAAATCCTCGCGAAGGATGAATTCAGTTCAGTTCAAACAGAATCGATTTCACCACTTCCAATTTAGACTTTCGAATCCGCAAATTTTCAAATATGCCAACCTCTGCGCACAGTTTTATTTGAACTTGGTCGAGATTTAAGGGAGTTAAAATTCGGAGCAAGCTTAATTAACTCGGTAAATTAAAAAAGAATTCGGTTTCATAATTCAAGCGAAACGGAAGAATTTCAAGATTTCAAGATTATTATATACTGTTTATCTTTCATCAAAATCAAAGTTTCAACTTCAAACACAGATCTTTTCATCTTTTTTAGAAGCTCGACAACTCGAGCTTTGAAACGATTAAAGTATGAAAAATATTCTAAAAAAGAAAAAAAAAAAAAAAAAAAAAAAGATCACTTGCGATATACAAGATTTATTAAATTATTACAGCTATTATTATATGAGAATACACAATTTTTACATGTACATTATAATATATTACGTATCTCGCTATTTACTCTCTTCTCCCATCTCCTCATCTCTTTCCTCTTGTTTTCATCTTTATACACACTTTCGACACTTTTCCCTCTCGCGTTTCATTTCTGAATATATAAAACGAATATATCATCAGGGAAATTTAGCGAGCGAATAACGCTCGTCTTTGATGAATAAGTTAAACGCAATTTACACGTATCCACGGCACTGTAATCCATGCCATGTATCTCATGAAGGTTTGCAACCTTGATTTTCAATCATTACACGCACAAAATAGAATACTGCGATTACACATACACTTTTTTAATTAATCGATAAACGTGGACGATTCTTTTTTGTTTCTTTTTTTTATTATTATTATTGTTATCATTAATATTAATATTAATATTATTATTATTATTATTGTTATTATTATTATTATTATTATTATTATTATTATTATTATTATTATTATTATTATTAATTTCTCTTACTTTAAATTGTTTCTAACTTAACTAATTATATTATGCCCTGCGTAATTCTATAATCGTTACACGTCACTCTTCGCGATACACTCAATGTACAATTTTATTTCTTTCTTTCGTGTCTTAACATCGACAGGGTTATCGATGATCTCATATAACAACATACAAGATTCATTTGAGAGTAAAATTTGTAAGAAATTTTGCTCTCGACAAACGGACACTTGATTGGAGAGTTAAACTGTTGGAACAGTTATAATAAAAAGTATCTTCGAGAGTTTTACTTTCAAATGGATTCGTAATCTCCGCGTTATTAATTTATTCCAACTAACCAACGTAGTTCGAGACGAAAAAGGAGAGAAAGAAAAGAGCGACGAATTGCTCGATACAAATCGCGATCCGTGATTAATATAAGGCTTTTTTAATGGGCTCTTTCGTTCCTCTTCAAAAATACATATCGAATCGCAAACTTGATACACAGTTAGACACTCGTTAAAAAAAACGACGACACGATACGACTTTCTTTTAAAACAGCACCCATTATTGACTCTGAAGCAACACTGTAACACCGTTGCAATTTGTTTTGTGCAGTTATATTGATATTCTATCCGTCTATCTCGTCTTATTCCTCGTTCCAAAACGTTATTATTATGTATTAATTTACGTACGAACTATTCCATGATCGACCATTCGATTTTTTTCCCTTTAATATGTTACAAAAAATATTGGCGCGCACCAGCGCGTGCGAATATAAAATATACTCTCGCGCGTATTGTACAAGCCGTTTCTTCATCTCTTCTCTCTTTTTCTCTATGCGTGTGTACAAGTGTACTTGTTTGTTTGTTTGTTTGTTTATTTGTTTGTTTGCGTATATGTATATGTATGCTTACGCGTAAGTTTGAGATCTGAATCTTTACGACCACGTGATTCAATGGAGCAAAGTGCGAGAAATAATCACGAATCACGAAACGGTTTATACAATTTCTTTTTCTTTTTTTTCCTCTTAAAAAAAAAAAAAAAAAAAAAAAAAAAAAAAAAAAAAAAAAAAAATAATCACGATTAAGAAACGCAAAGACCTCAAACTTACGTTTCTTCCACTTATCTAAATAGTTTAAACATTAACTCGACATTTACAGTAACTTATGCAATTGTTTCGCTCGATTAATAACTATAGAATAATAATTATGTTCGTCTTGTTCCTCCATTCTCCCTTGAAAGCTTCCTTGCTTACGAAAACATTGAAGTGAGAGAGATGCTTTGGTGTATATATATATATATATATATGTAATCGATAATCTCTCCTAAATACACTCTGTAAATGCTAAATTGATAAAAAATACTATTCCTCTCCTGAACTCCTTCTGCGTATATGTAATATATATGTAATATATACATGTGCAACGATTTAAACGGCCAACAGCACGATCAACGTTGCCCTGGCCCAAAAAATCGAAAACTTGTCGTTTAAAATCGAAGAGAATCGTCGAGTTCGGTTTTGCAACTTCGTTCGTTTGTTGTACAATTGACTTTTGTTATTCGTTATTACAGCGGAAAAATGGCGGTCGATCCTCCATTGAGCATATTAATGAAGGATTGTCTTATACAAAAATTTCCCTCCCTTTCCTCCCCCTCTCTTCTTTTCATCTCATGGACGTCTGTGAATAATAATAATTTGTTCGTTCGTAATCTCGTTCTCTTCGATTTTAAACCATCGATATTTCCTCCCTTCAAGATACAGAATTTATTAACATTAACTTGAAAAATTACGCACGTCGATACGCAGAAGTTGCCTCTTTAATTAAACGCGCTCGCTGTGCCCTTCGTAAAATTGTCATCGATGTTGATATTTTAAAATAATAATTAATTGACAGCGGACGCATTAATTTTTTTTTTTTTTTTTTTTTTAAATCGTGCTAACATACAACACATATATAAGATGTTTTCTAAATCGCAGATCGGCGAGATTTAATCCAAAGGATTAATCTATTACGATAGTCAATCATTGATCACGATCTGCCATTTAGAAAATGCTCGATACCTCGCTCTTAAAGGCATACCGTTTAATCACATACACCTGGAATGATCCCTCTCTCTCAATTTACGCTTGGAATTATTCGATGTACAATTAGTCGCATTAATATTCAAACGCTTCAACTTCTAGAAATTCTTGTATTAAAAAGATGATGATGAAAAAATTACGAGACAAGAATTACAAACTTTGTAGAAAAAAAAAAAATATCGCAAGATAAAATATTTAAAAAAAATTTACAGAATAACTAGCCTATTTTCTATACGATAAGCAATAAGCAATATAATAATAAAATAACAGATTTCGTAGATAAAACAAGATCCAAATATTAATGTGACTAATTGTACTCTCTTCCATGACTCGTTTTGCCGTTTTCATCGTGAACGTAATTCGTAAAAGGATGTAGAAAAAAACTAATTCGAATCGATATTTCCATCAAAGTGTTACACGATCGATTCAATTTTCGCAAACAGTCTTCGGTAAACGATGCAAGTAACGAATTGGATCGATTTCAATTATGTTCGCAAAGAAACGAATTTTCTATAATCCAAAATGTGTATTCAAAGATGGCACTAGAATGTTTCATTCGGTAAAAAATGTGATACATAAAAAAGGAATAGAAAAATCGTAAGATTAGTAACGTGTTGCAAAAAACCCAATACTTTCTCGATGTCGGTATAAACGTGTAAAAGCTAAACTGCTGAAATTTTACATAATTCTCTTTTCTTATTTTTTTTATCTCTATTTTTTCTTTTCTTTTCTTTTTTTTTTTTTTTTTCTTTTTTTTCCCTTTAATCATCGATCGATTTATCGTTAAGCGTGTGACGCAAAGTTTGCATAATTCGGTGTGTACAATATGTGTATTCGTGTGTATATATATTTATCTATATATAATGTATTCTTTGTTTTTTGTATATATATAATATGTATATATATATATATGTAACGTTTAAGAATTCGTTGAATTTTTCTTGCCTTTTCGGAAACGAAATCCGAAAACGACGACGACTATTCGATACTTAATTCTTTGAAAAGAAACATTCTCGTTGAATCTCATTCTGATCGCGTGTTGAACGTCGAATACAAAGACACATTTAGCGATCAACGTAACACATTATCTCACATAGAATATTGTTTAATTTTCAATTATCGTGCAATTCTTTTATAAACTGTGGTACGCTTAAAAGATTCGCAGTCACACGATTCGAGCAATATGCTAAAACGAGAATTCATTTTCGAGAGATGTTCGAAATTACGATGATTTATGATTATGTTTGCGGTCAAAACTATCTATATATCTTCCGATGAAGCGAGATAATTTTAACGTTTGTCAAGAAATAGTACTGTCCGATCGATTAATCGTAATTTTTCACTGCAAAAAATTCGTTTGTACGATAAGAGGCTGCACATTCCGATCTTGCACAGACATACACGATGTAAGAAAAGAAAAGCTTATGGTTATCGTTATTTCTCACAAACTGTTACTCAACGCAAAATCTCAAAATTAAAAGTTTCACACAATACGAAACGAAAAAGATATTTATACAGGAAGGATATGATAAAACTTTTTCAAATTTAATATTTCAATGAGGAAAACGTGTAACTTATTATCAACAACTTAAAGGATTCTTATTAAACCAATAATAGTTTAATAAAACGAAACGAATAATAATCCTTTCTTCAGCGAAATCGACCAGTCTCTTTTTCTCAAGAACATTTTTTTCGGACTCTCTGCACGAAAAACGCACACTGACAGAACGAATTCTGCATACTGGCCATGTGATTAAAATAACAAAAACACGTGTGCTGGTTAAATCGCATCTCCAAAGTAAAAGATGTATTATTCCTCCATCCCGTTACTGGTAAATATATCGTTTTATCCGACATCTTTTTCAACGATGCGTTCAATCTTCGAATCGTTTCCAGCCATAAACGAAACGTTGTCAAAGCGTAAACAGTATAACATTGTTATACTTTTTTCCCCGCGTGATTTTAATCGTGATCGATCCAAAATGTTCTTTCATTTCCTCCCCTGATGAGTCGAACGAGATGCACGTTAGTTACTCTCTGATTGATTAGTACCATTCCATAGGTGTCGTCCCGTGTACAATATAGATAATTAGATGAATTTGACCAATACGATTTTTCATCCAGCATCCAGAAAGAAAAGGAGATAGTTGTTCCAGCGATCGTCGAACGATGACGAAAATGAGATCTTCGATCCTTGCGGCGAAGAATCGACGTTCCATTTTATCACCGATACTCAAATCATTTTCCCAAGCGTGATAATGATCGTCGAATTAAAGGATCAGCTGGCTCGCGCCGTTCTGGAAGATCTTACGTTTGCTTGCGTCGAACAGGTCGATCGAGTTGGATCCACGTAGTCAGGCATCCGTCTCACCCTTCAACCTGAGACGGGCAAAGTCCTCGAAAATGATGTCGTCGTCGCCGTCAGCCTCCCTGAAATTAGGGACAATTTTAAAAACTTGTAAGAAGAAGATCTTCGCGATCTTTTGATATGGTTGCTTTTACGTAGATGTGCGAATTAATTCGATCTTTTTGAATTTGAAGTTTTGAAAATTACGATTATTTTTTTAACAATGGTTCTTTATTCTTTATATAAATAATACCAAATCAATTTTCACATCCAACGATAATACGAGAGGATAAGAAGTAAGAGGAAGATTGATAGCCGCATTATGCGACGATGATTTATCGAAACGTCCATCGATTGGCGGGAACGTAGCTCGAAATCGTTACTTAAACATCGATCACGTACGTGTCCAATTGAATCAGATTTGTGTCAAGCGGTATCTCGCTATCCGTCTTTTGCGTCGGGCTGGGCCGCGCCGTGGGTGGCGCTGGTTCCTCTTCTTCCGGTTTCGGATGCATCAAGATGAACGGCAGTTCCGCCACTAATTCGCTGTTAACAACGTGAATTAAATTCCTCCTTCGTTTCCTGCTTCCTCGAGTACACGTTGTATTAAATTAATTCGATATAAATTGATATCAATTGCGATTACAACGAATCGAAAGGAAATTCGGTGTAAAAAAAAAAAGGAACGAAGAGAAAAATCACTCTGCTCTCTGCTCCGGTTTGCCTTTATCCAAAAAAAAAAAAAAAAAAAAAAAAAAAAAAAAAAAAAAAAAAAACAAACGAATCAACTAAATAAATTACCAAGTTTCAACTTACCCTCCTAAAGCTCCGAGGCAAAGCTTCACTTTAACTTTGTACTGGACGATTATCCCGAGATTCTCGCGTTGCGAGGGATCCACCACGCTGCGAAACAACGAAAATTCGTAGACTTTTTCCATCGTTTATTTAGTTACTATCAAACATTCAAGCCCAGCATGCATAATTAGCAGAAAAATACGAATCGAACGGAGAAGAAGTAAGAAAAAGTAGAGCGTTGAAGCGATTCACGTTCTAAGGAAGAATGGCGAGAAATATCGTGTACAGGGAAGGAATATAGGGGTAACTTGTTGATAAAAAGGAAGCTTTGAAAACGGGGGGCACGGTATCAAGCAGTTTGAAAGCAACAAGTGCAAAAGCGAGCATTCAAGACAAGAAAGAAGCAGGGGAACAGGGTTTATCGATTTTGTTTAAGCATGGTTGCTTACACGTCTGGAGTTGGTACGATTTGATGTATGAATAGTGCGGTTGAAGTGGAAATGCAAATACATATGGTGGATCGTGTGAATTAAATTCGGTCCGCCTGGCGCGCAGAAAAATTGAAAAATAATTCGAAACTATTCCAAAAGAATGGCAAGAACGTTAAATATATCAATTATTCGAAAAGCTTCCACCGCACCTATTCCTATTTTCATCAATTTTGAATCAAGTGTGTCAAGGGATTTGCAGCAGTGTCGACGAAGCAAAATCGATCCTCTAATGTGTAATCTAGCGTTTTAAATTGGAAATAATTCTCGTCGAATCTATATCTCGTGATCGATCCAATCAATTAAAACATTCTCTCCTTGTCGTTGTAATGGACGAAATCTAATGTTGCCCAGGAATAATACGCACTATAATGCACTATAATGAAGCAGCAGCTAAACGCAACGCCTAAAAATCTCAATACCGCGTTCCGTGGGTGCGTTAAAGGTACAAGTCCGCTCTACATCGCCAATCAGCCAACTCATTTCTCTTCCAGGAGAAGAGAGAAATCATCGAAAAAACACGATAAAGAGAAACGTGCACGTTGCTGTTCACGACTTCTCGCCTATATAGCCCCTTTTCAAATTATTCACGTTACGGCGAATCACGATCGTTTGTGTAATCGCGCGTATAATTATCCTCGTCACCGTTTATCGAAAGTAACAATATGATTACACGATTTTCTTTCTCTTACACACACACACACACACACACACATACATACACACGCACAATTCTCGAGTATTCGTTTGCTTTATCATTTATGAATTAATAACGATTTAATGAAGAAATATTTTTTTAACGGAAAAAAAAAAGAAAACAAAAAAATTCGTTCAAATTTAGTTAAAGCGTTTTCGAAACGGAATTCCTTTCTTCAATTTTTCACGGAACGTAATTTCTCCAATATAGTTTCGAAAGTAATAGAAATCGCATTTGTTCCTTTCTTATTTTCGCGAATCGAAAAGTTTTTCTCTCCCGTAGAAAAACGCGAGCACTTGCATGAAAGGTAGGGGTTGGCGAGTCGATAGTAAGTTTTACTCGGGAAGCGATCAAATCAACCCGGAACACGAAAGAAAAACGCGGTTGGTCTCCGAATATAGCGCACGGGAGCGGAAGAGACGCGTTCTTCCTATTTTCGAACGAAGCGAGCGTATGTAAATGGAAGATAATTGAAACTGTTGCTGGATCGAGCAAATAAAATTCTGAAAAATTCCTTTCGCAAATAATAATGACTCGCGAATATTCACTCTTTCCTTTAAGGATAAAAAAAATTCCCAAACTTATTTCGAATAATTTCGCGGGCGTATTTGGAATATTTTTAAAAATTATTTGAAAAAAAAAGAAGAAAAAGAAGAGAAGAGTTAATTAAATTAAATTGAAATAGAAATACGTGATGTTTAATTATATTCCATTTAAGAACACGAGTCACGAGTTAATCGCCATCAGTGCCTCCCCAGACATTGGCGAGACCACTAAACCGTAGTGCTCACGGAACGGTGCAAATACAAATAAGAGACACGGTTTACATTAAGAGCCACGAATGTCAGGCGAGCTTCAAAGGGAAAGGCGACAATTTAAAACGCAGTCTAGCTGTTCAATTTGAGATTCTCGTCGCGCGTGGAATACAAAAAGAAAAAGAAAAAAAAAAGGGGGGGGGGAAAGAGAGAAAAGGATCCAAAACCCTTTCATGCCTGTCGCAGAAAGCGTTGATAATAATACGAACGATGGTACAAAGGATGTAACTCTTCCACCGGTTTACAATTCACTTTACTTTGTTCCTCCTCGATATAAAATATAAAAAAATTAATTTCGAGAATCGATACGAAGACGTTCTCGATTAGAGAAGTCGTGATCGCACGCGTGATCGAGCTCTTTTGATACTCATAGAGACAGAGAGAAAGAGAGAAGAGAGAGAGAGATAGAGAGAAACAGAGGCACGTACACTCAGTACCGATCAAAAGTTTGGGTATATGGCGTAACGTCCGAGGACGGATAGATTCGAATCGTGAACGTGAAACGGTACCTAATAGCATCCCGATAAAAATCTTGTCGACAAACTGTGTGCGAAAAAAACTGAAAGAAAGAGTTGAAAAAGAGAGCCGCTCGAAAATATGAAATAAAACGAGCGAAAAACGTCGATTCGAACTGACGTCGAGTTTAACGACGGAATATCATCGATGGGGAAAAATGGGGAGCACGAAATTTTCTAATTATCTCGTCACCCAAACTTTTGACCAGTCCTATATATATTATGTATATGTATGTACGAATATAATCAGGCGTGTGTTGTCCATCGACAAGCAGCGGTTTTCTTACAGGGTGCTGGACGCCAGATTGGTGTCCTCGTCTTTGATCTGGCCATCGAGGGCAAGCCCCCATTTATCTTTGTTGTCGGCGAGAAGCGGTTTCAGAGAGAACACTTTGCTCAGCGTGAAACCTGGCCCCACCGGGCACCCCTCCCTGATAAACATGTAGGCAGAAGAGTGAAGGTAAACGTGCCACCGGGGGCCTAATATATATCCGGATCAATCGGAATTTCCGGTATATATAAGGGGAGGTGGAGAGGGGGAGGATTATCGTTAGGTTTGTTGGTTAAACCAAAATTAACGCGAAATTAGTTTCTTTAGGCGAGGTAATTCGAATCTATACGTTTCTCTTCGGATGTCAAAGACCACGCTTGATGACTTGTCCCATTAAATGGCGCGGCACACCGACTGTTATTATCGACTTTCTCGTCGAGATCGTCGATGGATTTATCGGTGGTAAAAGCTTGGTGATAAAACTCGTCTCTCGGGTTGGATTAGTCGTTATTTGCAGTTCGATGGGCGTGTTTCGATGGGAATATTATTATTATTATTATTATCTAATCTGAAATAATAATCGATCAAAGATTCCGTCAGAACCTGGCGAGTCACGTTTCTTCCTGTTCGATTCGATTGGAATCGTGACGCGCAATAATTACATTTGAAATTTAAATTTGGAATAATTCGATTCGAGGTGTATCACTGGGACGGATTGCTCGCGAATCATTTCAATTCTTGCGCGGAATGACTTTGAAATCGAGCTTCGAAAAATAACCCGATCAATCCCGATCAAACATACGATACCGATATTATATCCTATTTCTAAAAAAAAAAAAGAAGAAGAAAAAGAAATAGATCTAACACACAGATGTAAATAATCGACGGGAATAAACGAAGAACTGTAAAACGGATATTACGATGTTACCCGCCGTAAATGGGGAATACTGGGAGGGGGGAGGGATAAAATCGGTGCTACGTGCGGGACATCGAGGCGTACTTCAATATCGCAAAAAACGACTCTCGTGACTCTCTCCAGTGACGTGTAGCATCGTTGGAACGATATAGAGCTGCCACTCCGCGAGCACCGATATTATACGATCCCATAATACGAAAGCTCGGTCACGAGAGGCACGCATCGACTTCAACCTCGTCGAGGGGACAGGACAACGATAATAAGCTATGTGACACGCGCTCTGTGACGATATCCTGACGATATATATATATATGTATCCCCGTGTGTGTAAAAAACGCGAAAAACTTCAGCTTGTGCGTCACACTGCAATACAGACTACATGGAGAATACAGGGGGAGAAAAAAAAAAAGAGCGATAAAGAAAGAAAGAAAGGAAGAAAGAAAGAAAGAAATAATGAGAAAAAGAGAGAGAGAGAGAGAGAAATATAAAGAGGGAATGAGGGTTCGATCGATCAGCATATCAATTGTGGAGAGAGACACAGACGTGGAGATAACGGAAAATAAAGTGAAAACGAAAGGTGGAGGGAGAGAGGGTTAGAGAAAGAGGGACGGTGTCCTCTGTACAGCAAAATAGACCACCACCGATGGAATACCAAATCCATATAAAGTTCCCCAGCAAAAAAGGCGATGAAGAAAAATACTGGCATTCCACTTTGATATAGTGTTCCCATACAATATATTTCGATTCTCAACAACGCGATCGTCCGCAAAGACTGCAAACGGGCTTCGATGCGAGAGTTAATATATTCCGATTGGTTGTTAACAATCCTGCAACGACGTATCCACACTCTTTCGTTGCTACGATAGAATATTCATTTTTCTTACTTATCTATCCGAAGATTATAAGTATAAATCTTTTTTTTTTTTTTTTGAACTTTTATAAAAGTAATTTTCTTGCGAAAGAGATCTAAACAATTGTTTAGAATTAGTATCTTGTATCTTCGATGATTGATCGGTCGAATAATCGAAACGATTAAAAAAGTTACCGTTGTATCGAAAATAATTGAAAAGAGATGTCTATAAACGGAGACGTCCCATTAATAAATCAGATAGAAACGCGAAAAAAAAAAGAATTTCGAGCTATCTGTCTCCAATCGATCCTCGCAAATAACGGAGGAAAATCTCGCGAGTTCTCATTTGGCCCGTTTCCAGTCTTCGAGTGTGCGAACGTTCGCCTCACGAAGAAAAATGATATAGCCGGCCAATGTTTGAGCACTCACATTGTGCTAGATGCGAGATTGGTGTCCTCGTGTTTAAGTTGGCCGTCTAGAGCAAGACCTCGCTTGTCTTTGTTGTCAGCAAGCGTTGGCCTTAGAGAAAAGACCTTGCTCAGTGTGAATCCTGGCGATACCCCTATACTGCCAGTGCAATCATTTTATTTTCTGTATCGTTGTGTTATCATTCCTTTCGCCGATTATCGCATCGTCGCACCTAGCGTTAATACTAATGGGGACAGATCTTCTTTCTTTCGTTTTTTTAACTTAAGGTACCTCGAGTTTTATTGTCACGTTAGAAAAAAAAAAAAAAAAA